AGTGGTGTATCCTGGTTTTGTGCTGCCCTAGACAGGACAAATCTCAGCCCCACCCCCCACAAGCCCCTCCACACCTAGCCCCCTGCCCCGCCTTCTAAATACACACACATTCACTGACAGATATGCATACACTAGCTAACAGACACACACTCGCTCACTAACAGACACACACACACTAATAGACACGCACAGACAGACACACACACTCACTTACATTAACACACTTACTTTTTTATTTTTTATTTAGACCCCCAAGCCTTACCTTAGGGAATGCTGGGGGGGGGGGTTTCTCCCTCTCCCTGGGGTCTAGTGGGGCTGTTGGGCAGGGAGGCGGCGCAGGCGAGGGAGCACTTTCCCCTTAGCGCTCTGCTCAGCTCCCTCGCGCGCAGCAGAGTGATGCTGGGAGCCGGAATACGAAGTCATATTCGGGCTCCCGGCATCACTCTGTGGGTGGCGCGCGAGGGAGCTGAGCAGAGAGCTCAGGGGAAAGTACTCCCTTGCCAGCGCCACCCGACCGACCGGATTGTTAGCCACAAGGCCAACAAGACATTTGCCCTGGGCATTTGGGGCGGCTTTTTTTGCCGCCCCCTGGAAAATGCCGCCCAAGGCAAATGCCTTGTTTGCCTCGCGGCTAATACGTCCCTGCTAACAAGTGCAGTATGTATGCGCAAGTGCTCTCAGGCTAGACATGTTATCCATGACTCCAACTGCATCACAGACATGCCCATCATACTGCACCACCTCTCCTAATTTCAAACACATATAAACCACTCACACACAATTTATATACTTGGCCTCTATTTAAACCCCTTAATAAAGGTTAACTTACATGAAATCCAGTGGTAAGAGGGTTAATTGCCACTGCACCAACCTATCCCATCTCCACCTTGGATCTAGTGCTTCTCTATGGAAAACTCTCATCCACTTAATGCTACACAAAGCTAGTAAATAAAGAACATCTTCTGGCTATCTATTTGACAGCTGTGAGGGTACAATTAAGACACTTGGCAAAGAGTGACAAAGACAAATAGGGAACACTGTTAATCCCTAAAGCACATCAGCAAGCTGACACATAGCTTCCGGCATGCCGGCATTGGGAGGCACGGAATAGGGAGGGGTTATAGGGATTCAGATGAGGTGAGCAAGTGCCACAGTATGAATATTGACTACGTTCGGTATTTTGTTCATTTGGAAACTACCGAACTTGGCCGACCGCAAGCCCTGATTCTCTGGAACTGTTTTTGGCATGAGACCATGTGTGTGGCCAGTCAAATTATGACTTCCATGGAAATCCCGAATCCCTGAACCGATCTGGGTGATTTTTGGATATATTGGTCCTCCAGATCGGGGCTATCAAGGGATATGACTTTTGTGGGGTTTACATGGGTTTTAGGGGTACTTTAGGGTACTGCTGAAATGTGTGTTCCCGAACAAGATAGCAAAAAGGCACGAACAAACATGAGCCTTTTTTGCATGGCCCATAGTCCTGCGTCAGGACGCTGGCAAACAGGCCCCTCCAAGGACCAGTGGCGAGGTTACTTTTGCCACAGCATATTTTCAACTTGAAACGTTGCACATACAGACTCCTACCATCATAACCACCTCAAATCCACAGAAGTGGTCACGGTGGATGGAGTAACAGTTTAGTTTTGTCTCCCTACCCTTACTCATATGTTAGAAGAGGTGCTGCTGAGAACAGGACAATTAGCACAAACTGTGATGGTGACCACAGACTTTTTTTTACCATACTTACTACAATTAACTGTAGTGGTTATGGTGCTTAGAATGCCATTTTAAGATCGAAAGCAGTTATTCTGTCTAAATTGTAGAGAACAGAAAGCTGAACTGCATAATTCGGCTAAAATAGCAAAGCTGTGACTATAGCTATAGAGCTATTATTGCCAATGTTTTTCTATTCTAATTTAAATTTGCTTCAACTCACAGCTTAGTGAATAACACCCTCCCCTCTCCAGTTTACCTTTTTCAGAGGTTAACCCCTTGGACTAGTATTCTCCTATACTGCAGAACTGCATTTAATTAAACCAGCACCACTGCCTTTATATTTACAATCTGATGGATTTAGCAAACACAATAAAGACTGGACGAAATGTTATATATATATACACAACCCTGCCACCCCATGCCATACAGTCAGTCCCATCCCGGGGTCTGCCCTCATTGCCCACTCACTGAGTCTGAGTGAAGCTCTGTCTACACTCGGAATGATACTCAGTCTGAACATTGGGCAACTTCAGCTGTGACGTCACGATGAAACGTCAGAAACATAAACTATGCTAGAACGGTGACTGCACGCACTTTGTGAGTGTTGGGGGTTATCACCGCTAACGCTGTTTTCATTTCAGACGCCGGGGGCGCGCTCACACCCACTAACCCGCACATGTTTGACTCTTACAGGTATCCGTAGGCTGAGCGGGCGGTTCGTAACGAACTGCTTGGTTGCCAGGGAAACGGGAGAAAACAAGAGAGCTACGTCATTAACGTGAGGATAGCAGAGCCCGGCAGGAGACCCCCCGTAGGTATGATGTCACCGTGCCCCAACTAACTGTAACGACCTGCGCCATCTCTGTGTGTACCGGCTAAGGAGCGAGCGGTTACCATTTACACTGCACCTTGTGTCTTACAGCAGCCACTGGGCAGAGTTTGTAAAAGTTTGCATCTCCCCACGGTGAGAGCAATGAGTGTGAGTCTGACTGCATGGGCATGGTGTGCGCCTGCCTTGTGAGATATTCAGTTTGTATATGTTGGCTGTGTGTGTGTTTGTAATGTTTGTGGTATTGTGTGTGTTTATGGGTAGCCGGTTATGTTACGTATATATACACACACCCACACCACAAACCGCACACATCCATACAAATGTGTGTGTGTGTGTGTGTATATATATATATATGTAATTTGTATGTATGTGTGCTGTTTGTGGTGTGTGTATGTATGTGTATATTTACATGGACTGTTTGTGGTATTGTGTGTTTTTTTTGTTGGCCTTTTGTTTTATTTGTGTGCGAGTGTATATTTGTAGGTTGCTTGAATACTTGTACGTGTGGTGTGGGCATTTTGTTTGTGTGTGGGGGGATGCTGTTTGCGAGGTTGTGTGTGTATGGATGTCCATAATATTGTGTGGGGAAGGTGTCTGCAGCAGTTTTTTGGGTGTCTTTTCTGCCTTAAACATAGCTTTAACTATATATATATATATATATATATATATATATATATATATATATATATATATATATGTGTGTGCGCGCAGACCACTTGGACCTCTGGCGCATTTCTGGCAAGACAGAGTAGCTATGCTTAGCAAGGCAATATTTTTAAATCACTGAGAAGCATTGGAGTGCGAGTGAGGTGCAGACCACAGGCCCCCTGCATGCTCTTAGATGGGTCCTCTAGTCTAAACTCATCAACTGGCCAATGTGGGTCTGGTAACTTCTCATGCCAAATAAATGCATCACGTGTACCATAGGTTGCCAACCCCTGTCCTAGAGTTTGTGTTGTTTAGCAACAGTTTAAATATGAAGCTTGCTGTCAGTGAGTATATGAAAGAAAACATTTTGTGCAAAATAATTTTAAAATGTGGACAGTGTTGAAGCTTGTGTATGTTACAGCATGTAAGATGTTATAGTTTAGCTTTTAAATAGACTTATTAATGTGACTTTTGGTAGTATAATGATTTACATGAAAAGCTTTTTATATTATTAGCATTTATATAGTGCCAACATATTCTGCAGCACTTTACAATTATAAAATGGGGTTATTTAAATGCAGTCATTGGAAAAAGAAAGTACACTCTCTTTAAATTCTATGGTTTTACATATCAGGAAATAATCATTGTGGAGAAATTTTGGCTCACTCCTCTTCATGTCATTGAGGTTTGCTGGCATTTGTTTATGCACAGCTCTCTTAAGGTCCCGCCACAGCATTTCAATCAGGTTCAGGTCTCGACTTTTACTAGGCCATTGCAACACCTTGATTCTTTTCTTTTTCAGCCATTCTATTGTAGATTTTTTTTGGTGTACTTGGATTAATTTCCTTGTTCCATTACCCAATTTCAGCCAAGTTTTAGCTGCCGGACAGATGGCTTCACATTTAACTCTAGGATACTTTGATATACAGATGTCATGTTCTCGATCAGGTCAGACAGGAGACGATTGCCAGGGTTAACTGAAGTGACTTTATTTGTAGCTTTTGACATTATAGCAGTATATTTAGTAGAAAGAATAAGCAAAAGGGAGAAATAATTTAGGCAATATGCCCTATATAGAAAATAAACAAGAGTACAAATAATAAAGCTGGAGAAGTACAGTGAAAATAACAAGACAGGTATTAGTAACTTTTAAAGAATCAGGAATGAAAGGGAACACCTTAGATATCAAATTTCAGCAATGTCCAGATAGTGGGTTTTGCAGGGTTGTATTAATCAAGGTAGTCCGGATAATTCAGTAGTAATCCAAGTAGGAATGGTGCAGGGTTGAATGAATCCAGTAAGCAGGTTAAAGCAATTGTAGTCCAAGTAGTTATGAAGCAGGGTTGAAAGAATCAGGTAGGAAGGTTAAAGCATTATTAATCCAAGTAGTTATGGTGCAGGGTTGAAGCAATTCAGGTAGGATGCAATACAGGCAAGTATAGGAGAGTTGATAGTAATCCGAATTAGAAAGGAGTAAGGGATGTAGCAATTCAAGTAGGATGAAATGAAGATAAGTTCAGGTTCTCTTACAAGAGCCAGCATCTGAAGTTCTTGGTATGAACACCAAATTCAATGTAATTCCCTCTTACTTTGTTGGGTGTGGCCATTTATAGCAGGACTTATTAACATAGGATACAGGTGAGTATTATGTGACTAGTGGCTAGGGAGGCCACTAGAGGTGAAAACCAGGAATTGCATTTAAAGGGATGGTAATAAATAGTGATGTCCAGAACTGTTCGCCGAACGGTTCGCCGAGGACTCATCATTGAGTAAACTTTGACCCTGTACCTCACAGTCAGCAGACTCATTCCAGCCAATCAGCAGCAGACCCTCCCTCCCAGACCCTCCCACCTCCTCTCCTGGACAGCATCCATTGTGAAGCTGCATTCTTAGTGAGCTGCCCAGGAGTTGGGAAGGTCTGGGAGGGAGGGTCTGCTGCTGATTGGCTTGAATGTGTCTGCTGACTGTGAGGTACAGGGTCAAAGTTTACTCAATGATGAGTCCGCGGCGAACCGTTCGCGAACAGTTCAGGACATCACTAGTAATAAACAAAAAAAAGTCTTACTTGTCATCATAAGAATGTGACAACAGAGGAGTTCATGGTCAACTCAATGACTGCAAGGTTTCCAGTAGCAAACCAAGCCCAAATCCTCACCCCTCCACCATTGTGCTTGACTGTTGAAATGAGGCGTTGTGCATTGTGGCCAAACATCTCCACTTTGGTCTTGTCTGTCTAAAGGACATTGTTCTAGAAGTCTTGTGGTTTGTTCAGATGCGACTTTGCAAACCTAAGCTGTGTTGCCATATCCTTTTTACCTAATTTTAAGATCTACTAAGGAACAGATGAATATTGTATCCTGATATGTAAAACCATAGAATTAAAAAACGGTGTGCTTTCATTTTTCCCATGACGTACATAATATAACAGAGCTAAGAGGTGAAGTGAAGAAGGCCCTACTCAAACATGCTTACAATCTATGATATTTGTTCAAATTGTTATATATGTTTTATTTATATATGTATGTGTGTTTTGTATGTACAGAGAGAGAATGTATATATTAACTACAGGCTGTGAATATATTTAGTAGTGACTCTTCTAATACATTTCAGATAATATAATGGATTCATGAGAAAATAACACATTCATTGCCATCTGAGAATTCATGACAGATTGTAAGGATAATGGAAGAGATTCCAGTGAAAGTAGCGGTGAGAATCCGTCCTCTGCTGTCCAAAGAAATCCTTCATAACCATCAAGTGTGTGTAAGGCTTGTCCCAAACACACAGCAGATCATTATTGGTAAAGACCGTGTCTTCACGTTTGACTTTGTGTTTGGGAAGAATTCTGCCCAAGATGATGTTTATAGATCATGCATTCAACCACTTCTGGTGTCGCTTATTGAAGGATACAATGCCACTGTCTTTGCCTATGGGCAGACTGGCTCTGGCAAGACGTACACTATTGGAGGAGGGAATGTTGGTAAGTTGAAAAAAAAATGAGATTTGTTCAGTTATCTTGGTCTATTCTCAGGTGGAAAACAGTTTAAGTTGGCAATGTTACTAAAATGATTTTTTACACAAAATAGTTTGCAGCAGTATACCCAACGGGTAATGCAATTTTCATTTAATCAGGCTATAGTAAATTTAGCTATAATTAAAAAGATAATGTAGGCATCAAAACTTTAACTAAAGTGGACACCCCAGTCATTAAAACAACTTAATCTAAATTGGAGATCTCCCGAGGCACTCTTACCTCAACGGGTTAAACCGGCTTCTGAATTTTCAGATTCAGGAAACAAGGAGTGCTCCCGGGGTGCCACTGATTGGTGGAGAGTGTTCTGCTGACTCTCTCAGCCAATCAGTGACTCTCCACTCACTAAACTGGATTGGAATATGTACATTTCTTTCCAAGCCAGTTTAGTGAATGGGGAGTCACTGATTGGCTGAGAGCGTTTGATGAAGCATTTAGATTAAAATGATTTGGTGCCTGGAGTATCCTTTTAACCCCCTCGCGATACAAGACGGCAAATTTCCGTCATTTACTAATATTAACCCCAGATCATGGCAATCAGGGTTAATGATGCTGCAGTCTGCCTCAGTGTCTGAGACAGACGGGCAGCAGCAGACTGCGCGGTCCTCATAGAGGTGAATTGAATCAATGAATCTCTATGAGGAACGTTCAGTGTCTGCATGCAGAGGGAGTAGATACTGAATGTTTGGATGCATTTTCGGCAGTCATGACCCAGGAAGGATCTTTAACAGCCATCTGAGTAGTGGCCAGTGAAGTTATCACTAGGCTGTAATGTAAACACTGCATTTTCTCTGAAAAGACAGTGTTTACAGCAAAAAGCCTGAAGGTAATGATTCTACTCACCAGAACAAATGCAATAAGCTGTAGTTATTCTGGTGACTATAGTGTCCCTTTAACCCCTTCCCGACCGCGGACGTATCAGGTACGTCTGGCAAAAAACGGTCCATAATGACCTTGGACGTACATGGTACGTCCGCAGCTATTTTGAGCGCTGGAAGCTCTGATAGTATTGCAGTGATGCTCTGCGTGCTGAGTGCCTCGAGGGGTTCTGGCACTCAGTGCATATATAATAATATAACCCCCCCCCCTCCCTTTCTAAAGGCAGTGAATCATGGGGTTTCTGGGGGTGTCCCTAGCATGCCTCATCATAAGGGGCAGGCTGGGGTCATCCAATCACAGCTTGCCCCATTAGCAATTTCATCCCAAGTGTGTTCCCCATTTCTCTGATTAGTGTGGATCTGCCTCCCTCTCTATACTTGTGTTTTAGTGAGAGAGGGAGAGAGATCTGTGGTTTAGCTAGAGAGATTTAGGTATTTATAGGTAGGGATGTGTAAAATCTTGAGACCCAAAGGCTCTTTTCAGAGCCATTAACCCCTGTCTTGCCAGTGATCACTATAATCACTGGCTCTTGCACAGCAGCACTTTTCTGCTGTTTGTGCATTTTTTTTAGGGGTTAATTTTTTTGTGTTTTTTTTTTTTTTTTAAGACCCAAAAGCTCTTTTCAGAACGATAAACCCATGTCCTGCCAGTGATCACTAAACAGATCACAAGCTCTTGCACAGCAGCACTTATTTTGCTGTCTGTTCATTTTATTAGGGGTTAATTTTTTTGTCTTTTTTTTTTATTTTTATTTTTTGTGACAGGTCACTAAGTAAAGTGATATGTGATCATGTCACATGGGTCACGGAAGTCAACCAGCGCTGAGCAGTCATATGCCACCCTTGCGCTAGAGTCTGACGCGTCTATGTCAGACTCTGACCCTGATTTTGACCCTGCCAGGTGCTCAGATACATCATCACTAGATACAGTGTCTGCTGCTAGTGATGTATCTAGTGATGTTGTATCTGTGCCTGCTAGTCCCCCTGTCAGAAGGAGACGTGCTGCTCCAGTTGGCAGAACTGCTGAGGAGTGGGTAGTGCCTCATCGCCAGACATCCCATCCTTTACTGCAAATACTGGCATTAATTTGGATGTCACAGGATTTAGCCCTCAGCAGTTTATGGAGGTGTTTCTGGGCGATGATGTATTGGGGAGCATTGTCGCCCAAACTAATTTATATGCCCATCAATTCCGAGCTACAAATCCTGACTCTTTTTTTGGCAAAGCAGCAATGGGCCCCCATCGATGGGCCAGAATTTAAAAGATTCTGGGCATTGACTATGCTGATGGGCATCATAAAGAAGCCCTCCATCCGCTCCTACTGGAGCAGTAGCCCCATCTGCTCTACCCCCATTTACTCCCAATGTATGTCCAGGAAGAGGTATGAAATGATTCTGCATTTCATGCACTTCAGCGACAGCAGCCTGTGTCCCCCTAGGGAGCATCCCCAGTTTGACAGGCTGTATAAAATCCGCCCCCTGATTACCCACTTCGCTGCCAGGTTTGCATAGGCTTATACACCTGGAAGGAATATATGCATGGATGAATCCCTGATGAAGTATAAGGGAAGGCTGGGATTCAAGAAGTATGTTCCTTCCAAGCGCTCTAGGTATGGTGTAAAGATGTATAAGCTCTGTGATAGCGAGACTAGGTATACTCAGGCCTTCCGGGTGTACGAGGGAAAGGATAGCCACCTTGACCCTCCAGGTTGCCCAGAACATATGGGAACCAGTGGCAAGATTGTCTGGGACCTGATATTCCCCCTGATGAACAAAGGGTACCACTTGTATACTGCCAATTTTTATACAAGTGTCCCTTTGTTGAAGCTACTGTACTGTTTTGATACAGTAGCTTGCGGCACAATCAAAAAGAACAGCACAGGTTTCCCAGGACAACTTGCACGCACACGGCTACGAAGGGGGGAGACCTCAGCTCTGCGCCAAGAGGAGCTGTTGGCAGTTAAGTACAGATACAAGAAGGATGTGTACCTGAGGGGACTGTGGAGGTCCCTGTACGTGGCAGAGCTGAGCGAACAAGGAAGCCAGTGTGCATCAAGGCCTATAACCGGCATATGGGTGGGGTTGATCTCCTTCTGCAGCCCTACCTAATTATACGAAAGACAAGGGCCTGGTACAAAAAGGTTGCAATCTACCTAATGCAGATTGCAACCCACAACGCTTTCTTGTTGTTTATAAAAGCAAACCCCGGGACGCAACTGAGATTTTTACAGTTTCAGCTCCAGATCATTTCGGGGATTTTGTACCGTGATGCACTTGCTCCCCGGGCGGTGATGGCAGAGAGCAGAGTTGGAGCTATACATTTCATTTTTAAAATTCCCCCTACTGCGGCAAAGCAGAATCCCCAAAAAAGATGCAGGGTCTGTTCTAAGAGGGGGCAGAGAAAAGATAGTGTATATCACTGTCCTGATTGCCCTGGACTCTGCATTGGAGACTGCTTCAAACGATACCACACGCTGGTCCATTTTTTAAATTTATTTTTTAACATTTGCTGTTCAGTTTTTTTCTTTGTTTTTTTTTTTTGGTGTCTTTTTTTTTTTTGGGGGGGTTTTGTTACATTTTACCCCGTGCATGGGGGGCATGGGTGTCCTTAGGAGGCCTTGCAGAAAACAACCTGGGGTGTTTTCTTGCAATAACCAACAACGGGTTCTCCTAAATCACAGTCGAAAAGCAGTGTGCGTGTGTAAAAATGAGGATTGAACTGTTACCTCCACACACGTTCTTCAACTTTTTTTATTTTTTGTCTGGCTAAAAAAAAAAGTTGCATCAAAGCACTCCACATGCAATACCTTGGGGTGTCTACGTTTCAAGTATGTACCCTTTCATGGTGATATATAAAACTGGGGTATGTGATAAGCCCCAAGCTAAAGATAGGCCTATCTGAAGAAATACTCTCAATTTCAACTCAAATTGCAAGTCATACAATTGTAACCGTACCTTCCCAAAATCCTGGCAAACCTATGCATGGGGGTGGGGAGGCATGGGTGTCCTAAGGAGGCCTTGCAGAAAACAACCTGGGGTGTTTTCTTGCAA